CCCGCGAGCGAGCGGCCTTGTCCCGCCTCGCAGCGCTCGGCCTCGGGGTGAGCATCCCGCGTCCCGCGCGGGCTCCATTGCAGGGCTCGGAGCCTGCCTGGTAAGGCCTTAGCAGTGGCCGGGCCTGCAGCGGAGAGCGGTGGTACTGTGGGCGGTGGTGTCGGGCTCCTGCGGGCTTGACCAAAGCCACCGGCTTTCTAGCGAGCAAAAAACGGAAGCCGAGTTATAGTTAAAAAAAATCACAAACCGAACACCAAAATAACCCCGACACTCAACACGTTTTGCATTAAATTCTGGAGTACAGCGTTTGTTCTTGGCCGTTGTGGGCACAAATTCTGCTGCTTCTTTAATACGGTCTCCTCTGCTAAGAATTTACTCTTTCTAGAGAAATGCTGGTGGCAGAAAGTCACAGGCAAAGTTACTTATTACAGTACCTGTAAGAAACTTTTTTGCTGTACCAGTGAAGGCCATTGCAAGGTATATGGCTTTATTGCTTCTCAGAAGATCACACAAATGTATTTGGAAGCTGTAAAGAAACAAACATGTTAGCTTTTTCAGTCTCAGGTGGTAGTGGACATGTTCAAGTTGGCAAAGGATCTAGAGATACTAAGACAACAAAGATGCCTTCGGAATTAGGAATTGAACTAATCTCATAGTTTCAAGAGTAGAAGCTAATTGTGACATACGTCTTACGATTTCTTTAATATAGTACTTTGCTTTTTAAAATTATGTATTAAAATGATAACATTTGTATGTAATTGAGATACACCATCTCGTAAATACCAGTAACTTTCACTTGTTCCATCTGCCATAGAAATTGAACTGAACTTTGACTTTGGGCACTGTTGGTAGGTAAACTTGAGAGATTTTATTCTGCAAAACTTGTAAAGTCATGTCTGTAGCACCTGGTAAGCCACTATAACTAAGTCTTGGGAGCCTAACATCATATTTAGGAGCTGATTTAATAACTGTGATAGTCTTGGTTAAGTTTCCAAATACTTGCTTGGAACTCTAGTTGTCTGAAATGTGAGGAAATAGTCCTAGCTAAGAGCATACCATATTTATGACTGTAACTTAGATATCAAGCTCTACTGGTCACATTAATTTGATACATTTGTTTATAGAAATAACAAATTATATTGATATAACTCAAAGCAAAGCAGTACTACATAAGTTTGATAAACACACTTGTAGATGTTGTGCTACTATAAGCATGGTACATTTCAGCAAAAATGCTTTAATACTGGTTGGCATTTTTTTGTCACTTGTAATGAGCACTGTTCTGGATGGCAGCAGAAAGTGTAGTTTTCCTAAATAACTGGTATTTCAGGCTCAGTAAAAAGGTCGTTCACTCTCTCAGTGACAGATTTAAATATTTCAGAAGATGCATTTGTCACCATCTCTCAGGCACATTTTGATTATGTATTACATGGATGTCATTCCAGTTACCAGAAAGAGGAAAATAATTACTTGACATAGCAAAGTTGCTTTTTGAGTATTTCAAGAGTCATTCTCTAGAACAAGCATTTTTGGAAATCTGATTAGTATTCACAGTGTAATAAAAATGATTATTTTTTTTTTTCTTCTAAGAAAGCAGTATTGGATGCCAGTAGATGAAGTACAAACTTTAGAAAAAACCTGTAATTTATTTTTATCGAAATAGTATTGTAAAGAATGAAAAATTAAAAGGAAATTCTTAGGGAAACTTCCTTAGTTGTGTACATTGTACAATAGTGTAACCATTCTTAGGGGTTCAAATGGACACATAAAGTGTTGGTGAAACTCACCAACACTGTTCTGTTTGTGTGGTTCTGTCTTTGGGCTGGGAAGATCCTTAGGTGATAAACGTCTTTTTAACTTTTTTAGTCTTAACTTTGAGTTTTATTTTTGGGAGAGGTATCTTCTGTATTAATTTCAATAGTGTAGAGAACACTATGATTTTCTTCCTGGAAACTTCTAGAAGCATGGAGGAAAACTACAAGCTTCTGTACTTTAATTCAATGGCAACTGGTGCTGAAGCTTTCAAGTATTCTTCTATTAATATTTTCACCAAATATTGTAGTTTCATAATTTAAAATAAAAGCAGTCAGTCTAAAACCATGTTCTGTGTGTATATTCTGAGCTCTTATTTTCCTTATTGTTGTGATAGAAGAGCTTTCCAGTGTGGGCTAGTCCTAAAGGGAGCAATTAAAAGTAAAAACCTCTATTTTGCAATAAAAGCAGAAACTGCAATTTCTGTGCATTGAAAGTCATCTCTCATAACTACTCACACTACGTAGGATGTCAGTTTCGGGGATTTTTTTTTGCTTCCAGCAGAAGTACTGAACCAAAGCAAACTACATTGTATATATTTCTGAAGGAAGATGTAAGTTGATTCTGCCATCACTTAAACATCTGAAATCTAGTAATTTCAAATCTTACTTTGGTTGTTAAATTATTCCTCCAGCAAGACAATAGTTTGAGGGCATGAGAAAATCTGCAGTGTAGCTGGTAACTTCTGCTGTTGTTGTGGCACGCGTTGATGACCTTGGGCTTGGTATAGTGAGTGTTGAGCAATTTAAATTTTGCTTGTTTTTATTTTAAGGATTTAATATATAAAGTGATACTATTACAGTTTCTCCTTTAAAAAAAAATAAAACACCCTCCTTTGTGTACTGGAGCATATTGAAATGTAGTGGAACTTACTGTTTTTTTCAGGACAGATGGAAGTTTTGTGGTTCATGATGTACCTTCAGGATCTTACGTAGTGGAAGTTATATCCCCTGCTCATAAATTTGAGCCTGTGCGAGTTGACATAACTTCAAAAGGCAAAATGAGGTGAGCCTTTCCAATTTGCCTGTCTGTTGATCTATTGAGTATGCCTGACAACACAGTATAAGAAGTAATGTAAACGGTACTACAGACCTGATATTCCATTTTAGACTGTATGTTTCATCTTTTAACATCACTTCTAGGAGCCCAAGTCTTAAAAATTCAAAGCCTGATTGCTCGCCCTCCTTTTTTTGCTTGCCCTCCTCTCGCTCGCCCTCCTCTCTCCTGCCTTCAGTAAGAGGAAATGGATAAAAAGAGTCCTATTTGTTTACTTTTGTTAATTTTGTAGATTTAGATTAGATATTATGAAAAAATTCTTCACCATAAGAGTGGTGAAACATTGGAACAGGTTGCCCAAGGAGGTTGTGGATGCTCCATCCCTGGAAGCGTTCAGGGCCAGTTTGGATGAGACTTTGAGCAACTTGATCTAGTGGGAAAGAGGTGTCCCTGCCCGCAGCAGGGGGGTTGGAACTATATGATCTTCAAGGTCCTTTGCATCCTTAAGCATTCTATAATTCTGTGATTTTGTTATGCAGCTATCTAGACATAAATCAGTTAACTGCTTTATCTTTTGACAGTATGGTGGGGTTTTTTCCTCTCTTCTTCCCTTTTTCCTTTCTTTTTTAGTAAATGTTCTGTCAGGACTTGGCACAATGAAATTTTGATTCAGGAGGCTGAGGGGTGACCTCATAAATGTTCATAAATACGTCAAGGGGGAGTGTCAGGAGGATGGAGCCAGGCTGTTTTCTCAGCGTCCAATGACAGGACAAGGAGTAATGGGTACAAGCTGGAACATAGGAGGTTCCACAAAAATATTAGGAAAATCTTTTTCAGTGTGAGGGTGACAGAGCACTGGCATAGGCTGCCCAGGGAGGTTGTGGAGTCTCCTTTCTTAGAGACATTCAAAACCTGCCTGGACGTGTTCCTGTGTGACCTTCTCTAGGTGATCCTGCTCTGGCAGGAGGGCTGGACTAGATGATCTTTTGAGGTCCCTTCCAGCCCCTAACATTCTGTGATTGTGTGATTTGTTACACCTCCCAAAGATACTCCTTACAGTTACTGGAATATGCTAGTAGCTGCCAACCTGCAGTATTTCTGTAGCATCATTTGCTTTTTTTATGTAACGAACAGATACATTATCCCTGACAGCTATAACTGTACGTTTTGTAACTGCACACTATTCAGTAAGTGATACAGAAAAACATCTATGCTATCAAATAAGGGGATTGTTGTTTAAATGAATATGTTTGTAGTTACTTTGTCTTTATACGGGCACATACCTAGTATCAACTTCAGGTTTGTCTTTTACGGTATCTTATAAAAGATGCCGTTACATTTTAGGAGTGCAAACATTGATATATGCGCTGCAGCAGTACTTTTAGGGGAGGTTATGAATTGAAATCTCAAACTGAAAACAGTGCAAGTGGTCTGTTTATAGCACAGTTTATTTGTGCTTGTATTTTTTGCCCAAACTGTATGAAATTTTAATTTTTACACTTTGTTAGTCAGTGTCTCATTGGCAAGAATTAATATGTAATAAATATGGAAGTGTCCTGGTTTTGACTGGGATAGAGTTAATCTTCCTAGGAGCTGGTACAGTGCAGTGTTTCAGATTTAGTGTAAGAGTAATGCTGATAATAGGCTGATGTTTTGGTTGTGGTTAAGTAGTGCTTATCTTACGAATTTTTCAGTTATACGTTTTCATTAGTTTTAGCTCTTTTTTTTTTTCTTTCTCTAATTCTGCCTATCCCACTGGGATGAGCAAGCAGCTATTGGCTGGGGTTAAACCAGGACAAGAAGGAATTTGATGAAACAGACACATTAGTATATATAACATCTCACTTAGCACTGTTTTGGTATCTGAGGACTAGAGGTAACATATTTGACCTTAAGTAAATTGCTAAGATACGTCTGCAAAGCGAAGTAGCAGTAGGCTTGGTGTCTTACCAGTCAAACAGGTAGAAAGTGTAATGAGGAATACAGAGATGCAAGAGAAAAAATAATACCGCAGTTCTTAGAGTAAACAGCAGGTGGTAACAGATACCTTTGATGAGATCTACTTGAAAATCTCAAAAGCTTTTGAAAACTGTAGTAATATGGAAAGAGGGAAAGACATTCTATGAATGAATATTTGGTGAAGAAATCAGAAGGGACAAATGATTGCTTTTTTAACGAGCAGAAGTCATCTCTGGAGTTGCACAAAGCAGGTAAATATTCCTAAGTCATGAAAAATGGGTGAAGAGTGACAAAGTTGGATGACAGCACCAAGTAACTATCTAGATATTAGGCCCAAGTAAAGAATACTAGTGAAGAACTATGGAAAGACCTTAAAAAGTAATAAAGATTGAAATTCAGTATTGATTAATGCAAAGAAATGCACTTAGGGAAGAGATAATGTTAACTTCGTATACAAATAATTGGGGTCTGTCCCAAGCAAACTCTAAGCTACACTGCCCTGTTAAAAGGCGTAACTTCTCTTGAAACGTAGCTATGATCAAGGTGAGAAAAAAAAGTTTTGCAGAAGTCACATCTGAACAAATAGTTCTGGTGTTTCTAATCTGCAGGTCTTTTTTCCAGATCAGGTTTTTCGGCCTGTTTAATAGCTAGCCTGGAAAAAAGGTAAAGTATCATTTGGTTCCATAAAGTACACTGCAGATAGAAATTGGCTTCTGAATACTGAAGCCTGGCTGACACTGCCTAGCAGATAATTTTGTTTGTAATCTATTATTAAAACCTTGTTTGGAATATTATTACATCTTTATTTTTCCATTAAATACTGTATATATATTTTTATTTGTTTACATTTTGCTTATTAGAGCAAGATATGTGAACTACATCAAAACCTCTGAAGTTGTCAGGCTGCCATACCCACTCCAGATGAAATCTTCTGGACCTCCTTCATACTTTATAAAGAGAGAATCTTGGGGATGGACAGATTTCCTTATGAACCCTATGGTATGTACAAGCAACACACAAAGGTTAAAATTGTATTAAGGATCCAAATATGGCTGGTTTTCAGAATACCAAGAATAAAACAGTCAAGAAAAGATGTGCACATTTTGCTATTCTGAGAGGATTGTTTTAATTCTTTGGGTTTTACATATTTACAAATATAAAGTTTTTCTGTGACCTCCTCCTCTATACACCCACGTGTGTCCTCTGAAAATAGCCCATAGTCTGGTTCCGTGGGCAACATGATGTTCTAGTAGTGTGGAGATCCACAAATTGCAAGATTGTAATTAGAACAGTTGACAGGGATAACAAGCATTTACTTTAATGGTTCAACCTTGAAATCTGTTGTTTAAAACAATGTTTCCTTATCAGGATTCTTTCCTGACAAGTGGATTCCTGTTACTGGGTTACTGACTGAGAATGCAGTAGCTGGCTGTTTAGCTACAAGCGTTATGTCGGTGTGTCTGAAAATGTCTGGACCAACAAGTTAGCTGAAGAAGTACTTGCTGTTTTCTGCGTAGGTGATGATGATGGTTCTGCCACTACTGATATTTGTGCTTTTGCCTAAAGTTGTCAACACCAGTGATCCTGATATGAGACGGGTGAGTATGTTCAATTGATGCATACATAGAGAACAAAGATGAGATTTTAAGGTACAGAAAAGGAATAAAAACAAAACTGAACTTTTAAAGACGTGTTAATGGGCATCGTTTATTTAGTTAGTACAGTGTGGCTGTTCTAACATTGAATTCAACATTTCTGACTCGTTAATTTGCTGTTAAACAGCACAACACAGAATTCACTTGTCTGCCACAGCTTTGGAAGTATTACAGTCTGAGTGGTGTTTCCCAGAGCTTCTTTCAAGAGATAAATAAAATTTCTCAAAGATTTTTTTTTATAAATTTCCAGTATATTTATGCACTGTGTTTAAATCTACCACTTCATATTTAGACATCATTTAATAAGCATCAGGTGTGTTTAGAAGAGTATGATGTGGGGTTCTCTTATCCATCAACCTAAACCACACAGTTTGTAAGACTGTTAAATCCAGATATCAAAATAGTGTATATAACATGGAGTGTTAATGTAGTCATTAAATAATATGATTTATTATCCTTTCATCATGCAAAATGCCGAATAGCAGAAGGCTAGGACAAAATGGAGATTCAAGGTGTTTGCTAAATCTTTTCTTATTTTTAGAAGTATTCCTTGTTTGTTTTGGGTGGCTGCTTTTTGAGGGTTTGGTTAATTTAAACTCCTTTTCCTCTAAACGACCACTGTCTTCAGTAGTACTTTATAGGTGTCTGAGTATTTCTTTTTTTTTTTTTTAAAGGAATACCTATAAAAAGCGTATCGGAGCAATGTAATGCTCTTTTGGCTTCAGTTTTGATTCAAAACAGGATATGAAGATATGCTAGATATCTGTGGCATGCTCTTCAAACTAAGCTGACCCTTGGAAATTTAATTTAAAAAAAGTATTGCTTATTCCTTTTTTCATGGATCTGACACTGCTTACAGACAGGCTGTTACATTCCTAATGATTCAGTTCTTGTTAACTGACTGATATGACTTGTTAAGGAGAAGTTTTAAGTTAAAGGAATCTTGCTTTTAATTTAAATTATCTTTAAAAAATAGGAGAAGGTAGTTTTTAAGAACTCAGTGGTAATGTCTTTCTCTGGATGACCATGTATTAAATTCTTAAGTGTCCGTATAACCAACTCGAGGTTAATTGTGGAGGGTGTGGAGCTTGTATTACATTTTTCAAGTCAGCTTCCTTTTTCTTAATGAGATCAGCACAATACTAATTTATATAGAAAGTTAATCGGTTTGTAACATTGCTTGCTCTAGAGGCCTTAAGGAGAGCTGGTGTAGATGCCATAGTAACAAAGGCCACTGTAACAGTTTTTGCTTCATTTGTACCTTGAATGCGCTAAAGCTGTATCATTCTGAACGGTTACTAGAAGAGTAAGGTGACAATCCCATATCAAATTGGCAGTTGCTGTAAGCATTATCACATTGTAGATGTGCAGTTGGGCTGTTGTATGCTTTAAAAGTACTTCAGGGTTGGTTTGTTTGTTTTAAACCATACTAATTTGTCTTACAGAGTCACTGTGCTAAAGTTACATTAAGCTAAGCTGGATACATGGTCTCGTTTTAAAGTCATGCCTTTGAAGAAAACTTAGCTGCTGTAGAGTAGTAGCTTGGTGTTAACAAAGTAGGGTAATAAAAATACCTAATGCCTTCAAACAGCTTCCAAAATGTGCTCGATTTAGCATAAATAATACTAATTTGAAAACGCCAAAGAATGTGAAATCTATGAGAACACGGATCTGAAAATTTAAATAAAATTTTAAATTTTAAAATGGAGGAAACTAATTCTGAAAATAAGTAATGGCATTTTTTTCTTTTAGATTTTTTTTTTGTCAGGTGGTTGCCCTGTAAGACTGCTTAAGACATGGTTACCTTTTTCCTTACACCAGTGCTTTTAGCTTTAAGGTTTTATGTTTCTGTGTGTAGCTGGGCATTTGGCTGTGGTTGCATAAGAATGTGTAGCAATATATACCCTGGAGGACTACAAATAGTAAAGTAGTATTTGGGAAAATTTGATATATTTCTGATGCAATCTTTCAACTGATGCCTTAGAAACTGCAAGTATTGTTTTGAGCTATTAAGTTATCTAATCTTTGCTTGCAGGAAATGGAGCAGTCAATGAACATGCTGAATTCCAACCATGAGCTGCCAGATGTCTCTGAATTCATGACAAGACTTTTCTCCTCAAAATCTTCCAGCAAGTCTGGCAGTAGCAGCAGTAAAGCAGGAAAAAGTAGCTCTGGGAAAAGGAGATAGTTAAGTCTTCCTCCTAAGCCTGAGTTTGCACAGCTGTTTGTTCTGGGGCATCATGTTTCTTTGGTCTTGAATGATCAAAAAGCCACTACTGCAGACTTGAATCAGGCACAAAATACAGTGTGCTACAACTGTGAGGCGTAGCTTTTTTTTGTCTATATAAGCTGTTTTGTACTTGACAGTAAGCAAAAGAGGACATGGCTTCAATACTATCTGTATAAAGTTATTGATGATACTGAATTAACTGTATTGTTACGTAGATAATTATTATAAATTATATGATGTGCTGAAAAGTAATGGATGTCTTAAGACAATGTATAAAAAAATTAAAATATAATAGAAGTGGAGTTTAGTCTTAAGATGGCTTTAATGTTTTAGACCTGCTGTTAAGCTGAATGAACAAATCCTCCTTTCAAAATTGAGTTGTGAGTTCACTAAGTAATTTGCTGTATCAGTTTGTCATACGTGTTACAGAGAAAGTAATTCATTTTATGTTGTTTGCTGTCTGTACACTTTAGTTCAAGGACTTTCCACTTACCACTTACCTAGTTCTATTCTGATCTACTTTCTGCTAAAAACTCTTGGGGGTGGGGAAAGCAAAGTATCCTGCATCAGAAAGTCTTTTGAGCTCTGACAAGTTAAATATGAATCCAAGGTATGAGAAACGTTTGGTTTGGATCTTTCCTCTCTAACTCACATGCAACAGTTTTGGTTCTTACTGTGTGCTATGGGTTTTACTTATCAGTAGTATGATTTAAGGCCAAATGCGGAACGTTTTTAAAGCAGCTGCCCTACAAGTATAGTAGGGAAGTAAATCCCACTTGTCTTTTAAGTTACGTTCCAAAGTATGTGGCTGTCTCTAGGTGTGCCAAGTCACTGGCAAAACTTTGTTCTTTGAGCATGCCTGCGTGTATATACTGCAGTATCTTTTCAAGCCTCCCGGTAACTTCAGATAGAAGTTGAAAAAGTTGTTTTCCACAAGATGAACATTTGCAAATTAAAATGACAGTAATACCTGCCAAACCCCATTAGCACCTGTGCGTAAATCTTCTGGTTGGGTGGTTTAGCATAAATGCTGTTTTTTTCCATTTATACAATCGCTAACCTCTTAGGTGACATTATCCATGCAGAACGGGTAATGTATATCTAATTCCAAAAATGGCATGAAGAACATCTGAAGCAAAATCAGTTCTAATGTGTTTATTTGTTCTGCCAGACACTTAGGAGGACTGGACATTGTCTTCAAATATGTAATTAGAAGTATGCTGTGAAACATAAAATCTGCAAAAGAATAAGTACTTGTTCATAGAATTATCTTTTAAGATGTTGAAGAAAAAATAAACCAATGTTTTTTGGACAGTGAAAGATTTCGATCTCTGCGAAGTGAGGTGCACATTTTTGGTCTTGTTATGGTTTAGCTTGAATGATCTTTTTGTTTTCTATATTAAGTAAAATATATCCAATAGAGACAAGAGGATATTTGGATATTCTTGCTGGAAGGGTTTACTGAAATGAGTGTCAAGTTGCCTTTGCTTAAAAAAAAATTCAAAAGCCCTCCTCTTTTAGCAGCATCTTACTGAAAAATTCATAGGAGAAACAGGGAGCAGCTCTTTGAAGATGGAGCAATTAGCTTTGTTACTATGCTGTCCTGGGAAGTACAAGTCATGAGTTACTTCTGTTGAACAGTAATTGGACTGACAAATGGCATTAACTATGTTTTAATCACAGTTTGTTCCATAATTAATCATACTGATGCATTTTTCCTTATTACAAAGGTAAGAACAGCAGTATTTCTGCCTTCTTTCGTTGCGTCTGTTCATGATCTTGATCTGTCTTTAAGGCAAAATGGAGATTTTGGGCCATGAAAAGATGAAAGTCTTTGTTAAGAGTTCAGAGTAAAAAAATGACAGAAATTGTAAGGATCCTAATAGAACTTTGGAAGGAGTGTATGAAATATTCAACACTTCTCTTTTTCTTAGAACTGATATATCAAGGTCCAGGCAAATTCTTTGTGCAGCAAAATCAGATGCAGCCTACTGCTCTCCTGCCTTCCTTCACAGAAAACTGTGCCCCAGAAAACTGTTACCTGGACAGTCCAAGCCCAAAAATCTTGTCTAATGTTACTTCCTCAATCATATGTTATTTGTCTCCTTTTCAGACACCTGTGTGGGAATGTGATTTGTAGAAGTGTATTGGTCTGCTGCTGAAGTAATGGTAGTTACAATGGTATCAACATTTTATTTTATTTAGAGCTGGAATCTTGGGTGTCAAGTGAGAAAAGAGGATCTAGGCAGAGTACCTTGGTCAGTTAAGGATGTTATGTGGTCTTGGACTATCATAAATACCACTAGGTAAAGCTTATTTGATAGCTTTCCTATTGCAGTTACTAGTATAACTGCTTTATTTTTGCTATAGTTCAATTTTAATTTCTTTCCCTTATTTACAGATTTTTAGTGGTCTGTCATCTGCATTAGATCTGACGTTATTTTCGAAAAAGAACATAGCTGTCTTTAATGGGGCTACTTGAGATAATGTAAAGCAGACAGTAAGTTGAAGCAGCTGATACCTCAGAACTGAAATAAAAGATGTACAGAATCTTCTTGGACTATAGACAAGTTGATTTCCTCATTGCTAAAAGGAGGAAGACTTGTTCCCTTGGCTTGGACTGGTTAACCCTGCTGCCTTCTGCCCACAAGCTCTCATACTTCTCAGGCTTTGCCATTCATTAAAACAAGGAATTTGTCCATATTTCTGCTGGATTTCTGTTACGTTTTAGGGAACTAAATCAGCTCACAGAAGAATCAAAGAAATACCAAAGCCAGCAGAAAGTGAGAGGCATTCACTCAGAAGCAGGAACTCTTCTCTGTTTCTGGCAGTGAGGATGAGTAATACAATCAGCTCACTGCATCTAGAGGATTTGTAGCTTCAGAGCCCATTTAGCCGTATTCTGAATGAGTGGGCAACTCTGAATTTGTAACAGACTGTGTTGAAGGGAAGAGACATATTTTGCTGAAGTCTGCTTCAACTATTACTCATTTAAGATCGCCTGGAAGGTGTTTAGAACAGTTTGAAATAATTTTATCAATTATTTCATCAAAGAAGTACTTCAAAGATGAAATAATTACAGTCTTTACATGCAAGGAAAAAAATAACGTATGGACATCTCACCTCACTGTTTTTAACAAAATATTTGTTGTTCTTTATCTTTTTGACAAAGTGGGGTTTATAATGGCTCTGTGATGGGATGTGTATTGCTCAAAAGAGAAAGTCTTTGTATTTGTGAAGAGGACTTTAAAGTCTAGAATCAAATGCCTTAGGTTCTGATGCAACTGTCAGGCTTTGTGCAAATCATTTAGAACTTGTTTGAGTTTCTTGTGTAGGAAGTATGAGAAGCTTGTCTCACAAAAGTAATTGTAAGGATAAATTTAGTAATGGATAGTGGGTATTCAAATAACATGGCTGTTAGCTTACTGAAGAAAATCCAGTAACTAATCTTCTTAAAGAGCACCTTTATTAAGCATTTATATGTAGTAATTAATACATATTTGTTAAAGCAACCCTTTTAAGTAACCACATGTCAAGATTTCCAAAGCAATCTATGCAATTTAAGTCCTTTCCAATTTAGTAAAAAGTCTATTAAATCACTGAGATCTGTTTAAACATCTCCAGGTGGGTGTTAATGGACCTTTGATTGCATAAAGGTTTTGTGTGATCAGTAGCTCAAAGAGGACAAAGTTTGTTTTACAGTTTGATAAAAGGACCCTATTTTTACAGGCTGACAGTGATAGCAATACCTTAAGGCACCAAAAGGATTTCACTTTCATTTTTAAGACTTCATGTCTGACCTTAATCTTGCTGCTATTAATAGTTAATAGATGGTGAATTTGTATTCGTAAGGTTTTTCTGTTTCATTTGAAACTTAATTCTTCTACGAAAATAACCAATATGGAATACAAATAATAGTAAATGCTTAATGGCAATGAATGTATTTCATTCTGAAGTGTCAGAATGAAATCTGGATATATATGGCTATATATTATGCTTATTTACTGAACTGAAGGAGAAGAGAACTGTTTACATCTGCTGTTGTTGAGCTAAGGAATACAGAAAGAAAAAATTTTGAACTTCAAAAAAAAAAGCAGGTTTATGAAGCAAGTATATAGAAAGGTTAAAAAAAAAACATAGGCACATTTTGCATGTTCTCGGGGAGGCGAAGCACAAGGTGTGCACGAGGCGTTCAGAAGATCCTATTTAACAGGCTCAACAGGCTTAGTTGTGACCTGTATCTCCACAGGTCTTCTATGCCTGCTGTACTCTCCACAACAGAGTGCGTAGGCACTGGCATCACAGGCGGTGTTTCTTGCCCAGGCTAACTTCCCTGCCACACCCAGGAGTTACTGGGAGAGGAGGGAGAGTGTTGTTTGGCGTATCTGAAATTGTATTGATGGCTGTTGCACAAGATTAATACTGTGAACCAGCATATTCCCACATCCAGCAAAGTTCTCTGGCAGTGTTTCATTTGGTAAGATACTTGAAGCTGTAGATAATTGAAAGGAGAAAGACACCCAAGGTAATAAAAGGCTGAAGAAATTTTAACAATTGCTGTTACGGCGGATTTGACAAAAAGATTAAGATGCGCAAAAAATAACTTTAAAAATAATTGTAGATGAAAAATGTTTTTGTGATGTTCTAGAGATGTTCTCTTTTAGGTGACTGTAACACTGGCAGTAGTGCTAGCATATATGGACAAATGATTAAAAGAAAACAAATGACGGTGTGTTGCCACTTGACTCATCCGTGTCTCCTTGTCGTAACTACAGTCACAGCTTGGAGGAGAGCACAGACTTCTGTATTTCCGTATTACCCATGGGAATGAGGAAAAAGCAGTGATCCCATGTTTCTTTCCAGATGGGTAAGAGTGCTATACCATTCAAGAGATCAAGCTCATCAGTCTTTTCCTCAGTCACTGAAGAAAAACTGGGCACCCATTTAAGGTTTTTCCAAAACTGGTGTAATCTAGCCACCAAGCAATCCACCTGTTCCCCCCACTATTGGTGTAGGTGTCAATGGACACTATGTAGGCCTGCCAGTGGACTAAGTACAAACCACTTAATTACAGTTTAAATGCCAAAAAGCAAGGAGTATCAAATGTGAAAAAAACCAAACCTTCAGAAATCTTACTGCATTCATCATTGCAGTGTCTGTAAAGACAGGACTTTGGATCTTAATGACTATGTTGAACTTGATACTGAGTGTAAAATCTGGTGATTCAGATCATAAAATAATAGAACATTCAAGGAGCTTTTAGTCACAAAGTTGTGGCTAAAATCAA